TTTTTTGAAAATGTGACTTCTAGGTCAGGGAGAGAGCGAAGCGAACGAGTGAATTTATCAATATCACCGAGTAGATTAAAATGATATTCTGAAAAGGTCATAGGATGTCCTTATTATCCTACACTTTCTAATAGTGTATACTAAAAAATAAATTTCATGCAAATACTCGTAGTTCAATTTTGCAGGAAATAAACAAGCGGAGTATATGGTCACGACATCCTCCGCATATTGGTTTCCCTGAGTATATCGTCACGATATCCCCCTCATATTGGTTTTCCGGAGTATATCGTGGCGATATCCTCCAGTTATTTATTTTGCCAATAGACACGAGGGGAAAGTCTACCCGTGTATATACAACCTACCGCCGAGTAAGACACGCATATACCGCCAATCCAATGTTTGGTAAACTACATCTCATGGAAAATGGACAATAATGGAGGATTGTATATTGGATAATGGAGGTAATATTGGACCTCTATCAATTCCCTTGGATGGTTAGAATCGTTACTAAGATGTTCTAGCAGGCGAAATTGGCCTAGAATTATAGTTGAAATATATTTTTATGTACAAATTAAGAGATAAGTAAAACGTATAATGGTTTTCGGGTTGTTTTCTCATTCATATTCGCTTTAATTGAAAACGAGACATACCTGGGTCGGTAAATGCATGCCATATGCATAATATATTAAGTGTCCAACTATTAGGTCAAAATAGCAGTTTTGAACAGCAAAATCTTCACATAAACTTTGTCCTAAAAGATCCGATGTTATCGGACATCGGACCATGAGTAACATAATAAAGATCCGAAAATATCTTGAGTAAAGGATCTCAGAATCCGAACATTACTTGAGTAAAACATGTAGATATCCGATGACATCGTCGAGTTTATGACGTGCTGATGATGAAATAGTGTTAGGGTTACTTTTGGGAGTTTTCGAACCTTGATTTAATTGCCTTTATAAGAAGGGTTCCTCATTATTAATACTATTGTAACATTTTGACCCAGGCTGACACAACAGAAATTAGGCTATCAACACTGGAGGATAGGATTAGTACGAAATTGCATTTAAATCAATTATTATCCATATATATGGATTAAGATGAATATGTTTCAAGTTCCTAATCTCTAGTGGTCAATCTTTTTCATTTTAGTAGCTGTTCTACTGATATGTTATCTTATTCAAAATTGAGAGCGAATGAGCAAAACGGGTCTTTTAACTTTGCACATTTTAGATCAATCAAAATATATAACTTTTTTTTATATGTTAACCGTCTTGGTAGATACAAAATAACACGTACCGAAGTCATTGGATTATGAGCACAGTAGTCAAATAGAAGTGATGATATTATCAACAATGAAATGAATTCAATGTTTTAAAGAACTTTGCGGGACACACACGTTGACGAATTATATCATATTTTTACCACCTTGCCGGGCCAGTTCTAGGGGTTTTAGTGCGAGTTTAGAAGGCGTTAATTTTACTATATCGACCTGAGCAATATGTGACGTCATAGTGGTGGTCAAGAATGCATTTCAGACAATTTTCCCCGGGAAATTAGATATCGTTCAGTGCGTAAGATTTTCTTCCTGCTTCAGTCCTGGTTGTTAACGGTGGTAATAATACTAATAACGTCTATTCTGCGAGCAATATAGTGAAATATTGGACCTTCGGAAATGACGTTATTGTACTATTAACAGGAATTTTTGTGATATACTTCATGTTATTATATGATCATCCGAAAGCTTACTCACTACCTCATCGGGTTTTACTCACGGTATAATCGGAATACTCAGGCGGTAGCATCGGGTCCTATAGAATCGTACTCGTGATATAATCGGATCTTTCATTTTCAACTTTCACCGGTGAATTCTTATGCAACGTATGGCAGTAAAACAAATGTGAAATATTTGCACCTATTGTATCTTTTAATCAAATGGAGTAAATACAGCCATGGTTCTTACTTATTTAAGATGTAAAACATCATTGTAATATTTAGAAGTTGAATTTAGCGATTTGATAGTAAATATTGCATAAAGTACTCATTATTCTGCAAACATGAGTGCCTGGAACAACTACTATAGTCCTATCTGTTACAAATAATTCTGTATTTTATCTATTTCTCATATCGAGAAATTCAATATATAAACAGGAGTTTATTAACTTATCCCCTACATTTTCAGACATCTTCGGGTCTTTGCTCGGCGGTAGGTTGTATATACACGGGTAGGCTTTCCCTTCGTGAATAGATATCAAAATTTTTTTGATGTTATTACACATATTGTACACAAAATGTAGGATAATTTCTTTTACTGGACATATTTTAATTTGTATAACTATCAGATACATGAGGGTAATACGAAAAGTGAACCACTAAAAATATTCAAGTTTAAGGGAATACCCTGCCATGTTATTTCCCCCGAGTCAGCCACCTGGTGGCGAAACGGGTAACTACCTACTCGCATGTGACTAATTAGATAGTATGGCATTCTTATAGTATTCACATATCAATTATGAACAAAATCGCTCTAATTCTTCTCGAGTTGTGCTAACTAAAACGTTGAAATGGCGAATTTTTAATGGCCGCCTTTTAGACCTTCTTAGACAGTGTGCCATAATACAAATACGAACAAAATCGCTGAGTTACAGCAAAAATCGTAAAATAGCGTGTAAAGATGGCTGCTGTGTTTTTTCTTTAATATCTACATTTCTAGCTTTATTAATGTCCTATATAATTTTTTACATATCACTGGCGGATTAGGGGGGGGGGGCCCAGGGGCCCGGGCCCCCCCCCCTTGGGTGGGCCCAGAAAAAAAAAATTGGGCCCAAAAAAATTTTTGGGCCAAACAAGGCCTTCAGACCCCAAAAAGTGGGCCTTTTTGGTCATTACTGGGCCTTTTAAGGCCTTATTTGTTAATTTCAGGCCAAATTTTGAAGAAAATGGGCCTCAAAATTTCAAAATTTGGGCCCACTTTTGGATTTTAGGGGCCCAAAATTTTTTTCCGCGCAAGCGCGGACGTTTTTTCTTTGACCTGAAATTTGGGCCCCCCCCCTTGTTGGTTCCTGGATCCGCCCCTGCATATTGCTATTATAGTTTTACATATTATACCTAAATCACTAAAATGGCCGCCATTTTTGAAAATCGACTTTCGAGCAGAACTTACCCCCATAGAGTATATGTGTGGACAGAATCGAGCCAATTGTATTTGAGTTATTGCCCGGACGGACGGACGTATGTACGGACGTACGTACAGACGTACGTTAGTATTTTGTTCAAAATTGTATTTAGTTTTGAACAAAGTACTCAATCGGCCGGACACCGGGCAATGGATCGGAGCAAACGTGACCCAGGAATCAATTCAACTTGTGATTATTGGATACTTACCCTTTTCTATTGTCACTGCTAGTAGCAAAGTAATGTAAACCACGGTAAAATGCACCATCGCCAAAACCTAGAATATATATGTGAATTATTGTTAACGCAGTTAATGCCGTCAATTGAATGAAGACATTCAATTTTGTATTGTAGGCTAGCATCAATATGTGCAAGCATTCACTGATTTAGGCAAACAAATAAAAATAAGTAGACAGCGGTTCGGAATATCAATCGATTTGTAGCATATATATACCACAAATAATACTCACCAGATGTCTAATGCAGTTCTCCTAGAATTCCACATACGGTATATAACATGCATTTCACATCAACAGTTTCTATTGTTTAGAACAACAAGGTATCTTTATAGAATACTTAGAATTGTAATAATTTGTAGTGTTGATTTATATGTTTTTTTATTAGATACAGTACAATAGATATACATGATCAGGGCTTTTATTGTACTTGTATAGTGATTTATGCATGGCGTTTATTATAGTTTAGTAGAAAGGAAGGGGTTCAGTTCACCCGAAAGATATCCATTTTAATTACATTTTTTACACTGACAGGATGTCTATTTTAAAGAGTATTGATGTTAACACTATAAAACATCCGACTTATAATCCATTTTCTCCGTCAATAAATCCATGCCTTACGGTTTCCTGACGGTGTATCCAGTTTTGACAGGCCGTAGAAATTGTAGCTCGAAGTTACTCATTTCTACGATCACCGTAGAAGTTTTAATGGATCCACGGTGCCTTTTTTCGCGTCGAGTGACTGTAATGTCGACTTTCGGCTGCCCCAAAATGTTTGACCTCTGTGAACCACAATTACAATTACACGGTAGCAAATTAAATGTCACTGGGTTTTAGTCGTCCTTTCTTGAAAACTACCAAACCAGGCGCAATGTTGTCGTCGGCGTAGTACGTCGACCGCACGGCGACCACTTGCGGCCAAGCTGAAGCTAAGCTTAGCTAATGAATGATCATGTCACGTCTAAATTCTAAGTCGAAGGTAGATGGAAAATAAAAAAAAACTTCGTATTATTATCATCGGTAGTCCCATGGCCTGTCAAAATAGAAATACGGCGTAGGGCGATTTCGGAGTGGGGATTATCATTTCCTCGATTTCGGAAAAGTACAATCGGCCGCTTTTTCGTAGCCGTATAACAAATGTGACAGAGGCAATTAACGTGTACAAATATATTTTTAAAACGTGCTAAATATTTCATTTTCGTTTTAGATCATCATATATCATCATCATCATCAAGTTTTAGTTTTAAGCCTGTTATGTTCTCCCATCTGTTCTATTTATTTTTAGGGGTTACATTTCCCAATCTTGTTCTATTTTTAGGGGTTGAATTATACGCTATAAGGCTGAGGTCTCGGTTCTACCATGTTTTCGGGGCGGCGGAATACCGACAGATATCCGGGGCTGGTATTCTAGACGTACGGCTCATTTGGATATACGCCATTTGAGAAAAATTATGCTGGATATGTGTGCTAAAAAATTAGTTATCGCTCCTTCTTGTTTAATATTTATGAACTACATAAAAACACCAGACTAAGTAGGCCTATAGATCAAAGTTCGGACTGCTATAATATTTGCATATCGAACAAACAGAAATGGCTCACTTGACGGGATTAGGATTGCTCTTTCTCATCGTTTTTGTTTTCGAAGGTAAGATCTTAAAATTAGACATACGGAAAGGTGTAAATTGTTGCTGTCTTCAAGAATAAATAGCGAGTTTGTTTATGCTACAAAGAAATACTGATAGCCTTTAACATATTATATTCTATATGCCTAATTTCGAGTTATTTTGGTGACTTAAATCAAATATTACATATTACTTGTCTTCAGGTAATGCCAACTTCATGCAGAACTCGGAATTGTCGGAAGATTGTGATTTCTATGATACGGTAGAGGCACATGGGAATATGCGATGCGGAATGCTCGGTTATCCTATAGATTTTGGAAAACGTCTTTGCAGAGAACTAACATTGAAAAAACGGGTCGCACTAACGCAAAATGTAAGTATCTTACTGATTTATTTGCTTTTAGCATGTCCAAGTGCATTCATTTGTTAATTATTCACTCTTTAAGAGGTCGTGCGTCATATTTCTGATCTTCCGATCCGGATCTTTGCAATAGCCATTTAAAATTTTCGGGCTTCGTGGCATATCATCTGTGAAAGATGCACACAGATATTCACCTTAATAGAATTAAACATTTGTATATTATCTATTCCAATAATTTTTTTTCTGGTAAACTTTTATCAAGAACTGAGGAGCATTGAGTTTTTGTTGCCTTGGGAATTTTCTGCGCCGTTTCAAATCTTACGAGAAGTTCCTATGACGTAGCTGCAAAGACTCCAATAAGCACATGACAAGTTGTGTGACTTTTAAATTGATATTGGTAATTTTGACATACCGTCTTTAATTTTGAAATACACACATAATATGAAACCAATCTCTTACATATTCATTGCTCTAGCAGAGGATACCCTGAAGTGCCTCACACTGTGCAAGATGTGCGGTATCTCTCGTTTTATTTCAAGAGATTTGGACAAATAGTTTGTATATATCTCTAGAATCCCCCAAAATATAGTTAGATATGATATCTCTGATACGTACAAATTTGCGTATCGCACCAGTTCTATACTTAACTATTTGATGGTATGCCACAAAATAGGTTCAATATTATACCTGTGGTAATCAGGAGATTTGCTAACTATATTATACATCTTTTATATATACTCTTAAAACACTGACTATACTTTACTATTCATACAATATTGGACATGAAGAACAAGAGATACGCTGCCTATTCTGTGCTAAAAACAGCAGATATCAGCTTATATCAGGAGATACTCTCATATCAGACTTCCCAAAACAGGAGATATGGTAACTATACGAAATGACGTCATCAAGTCTCATTATTTGCAACGCTAATTAGGTAACATCACTTATCTAGCTTATTAACAATTACTCCGGTAGTAAAGTTATTAAATAAACAAATAGGGAGAATCTGAACCATATTTTTATCTCTTGTTTATCAATAAAGTTTAATGTTAATAAAATAAGATAAAGAACTGTAATTTTAGCACTTAGGTTTTAAGTAATGCATGTAGCATTCTTCGGTACATACTGTACCGTTAATAATAATTTATCATTCAATAATTAATCCATATGTTAGGGTTAACAGATTAATCTCTACAGCTGATGGCTCTTGATTCCACAAAAATAATTTGCAAAATAAGTTTTTTCATATATATTTGATTGTATAATGTCCCTCATGTTATGATTAACATTGTGTTAAATTTTTGATTCAATCAATTAAATCATTTTAATTAATTGGTTTTCCTCACATTTTTATTCCATTGTTTCTCTGTCACATTAAGTTTATAGCAAACAACATTTAAATCCCCCTCTAACACAGGTACAAACAACCATTCACTTTGCCAACCAAAACAACAGTCATGACACAGAACTGCTCAATATTCAATAACACATTATGCATTTTATACAGACCCGTACCTAAGGACCCCCTCCCTTTGGCCAACAATTCTTTCAAAATCATGTAGTTTTCACCATTCACATACATGTATTGACATTCCAGAGCAATATAATGAGTCAAACTTTAATCCCTAATTATTCAATTTCTATGATTTGAGTTTTGTTCACACTGATAGATAATCTTTTTGTTAGAGTTAATGGATTAATTTCTACAGCCGACGGTTCTAATTTCAACCGAAAAATAATTTGCAAATTAAGTTTTTCATAATTATTTTATTGTATAATGTCCCTTATGTTATGATTAAGATTGTGTTAAAATTTGGATTTAATTGATTGACTCAACGGAAAGTTAATTTTTAATCAATGGGTTTCCTCACATTTTTACTCCATTGGGTTTCCTCACAATTTAAGTCAATTGTTTCTCTGTCAAAATCCTACATAGTTTTACCAATCTTAGCACTGAAAATTATCAATTGTGACCCGTTGGTATTTTATGAAACTTGATCCTCTGGGCTAAAACTTATCACGAGCCTGTAATATATTGGATGTAATGCTCCGAAACATGCATTAATTTTGCATGATACAATTGGTGTTAAGCCATGCTAAAACAAAATTAAAACTTGAATTCTCTCACATTTTACAATTTATTTTTTCTGTTATCAATATAATATCTGAGATATAAACAAGGGATATAAACAACAGATTAGTCCATGATGTATATTAATACATTTGTTTCTACTACAATTGGACCACTTCTTTTTATTACAGCTAATTTTATTAAACTTTCTTTGTTTTCCATTTCCAAATATGTATATTCAAAAGGTGCGAGATTCGGTATGTTTAGTTGTTTGATAATGAAAATGAAGAAGCGGGTACATTTTACATTAATTCCTAATGTTTCATCTGACAAAGCGATGATTACACTTTGAGCAAATTGGAGCATGGTAGAACAAACTGACGTAAATAACATAGTGACATACAGTATGTCAGAGCAATATGATAAGTAAAACTTTAATCCCCAATTATTCAATTTCATTAATATGAGTTTCGTTAACACTGATAACTAATCCATTTGTTAGTGGTAATGGATTAATTTCCTACAGCCAACAGTTCTAAGTTCCACAAAAATAAAGTTTTTCATAATTATTTGATTGCATAATGTCCCTAATGTAATGATTAACATTGTGGTAAAATTTGGATTTAATTGATTGACTCAACGGAAAGCTAATTTTTAATCAATGGGTTTCCTGACATTTTTACTCCATTGTTTCTCTACCGCATTAAGTTTATAACAAACAACATTTAAGGCCCCCTCTTACACAGGCACAAACAACCACCTGTATTCACTTTGCAAACCACAAAAATAGTCTTGACACAGAACTGCTCAAATACCTCACCTCAAATACATTACGCATTTTAAACAGGCCCGTACCTAACAAGTAACGATTCCCTCCCCTTGGCCAACAATTCTTTCAAAATCATGTAGATTTTCACCATTCACATACATGTATTGATGTCAGAGCAATAGAAGTAATACTTTAATCCCTAAGTTATTTTCAATTTCTATGATTGTTCACTGATAACTAATCCGTTTGTTAGAGTTAATGGATTAATATCTAGAGCCGATTGTTCTAATTTCCACAAAAAGTAATGATTTGCAAATTAACTTTTTCATATTTATTTGATTGTATATTGTCCCTCATTCTATGATTAATATTGTGTTAAAATTTGGATTGAATCGATTAACTCATTGGAAAGTTAATTTTTTGATTTTTAATTGATGACTTTTCTTAACTTTCTTTAACTTTAACTTTAAATATAACTAAATAATGTGTATAAAGTGAATCTATCAGTTTTATTTTGTTTGTTTAATTACTTAACGCTGATAGTGCATTGTCAATCATTAATAAGCCAGATAAGTTATAGTAAGCGTATCTCCTGTTTTAGAGCTCTGATTTAATAGTATATCCTGAAATAGGCCAGAAGATGCTATTTTCCATAGAATCGGCGGGTATGTCTGGTTTTTATGGTTGGCCTATTAGTATAAAGAATACATGCGTTGTTTACGGGTGTGTAGGCGTTAATTACGCTCGTGTAGATGTAAAATTACGCCCGTGCTGACGAAAAATTACGCCTGTGTAGGCGTAAATTACGCCCGTGAAGAAGTAAATTCTACGGGCGTTCAGAATACATTTACAGGCGTGAACTTACGGCGTTAAAATTATTAATTACGGGCGTTAAGACTGTTATTTTACACGCGCTGAGAAACATCTTCACGCCCGTGGAGTTTATTTTTAGCGCCGTAAATTATGAACCAATCAGAACCTTACTTACATGATGATTTAATGCATCCTTGCTAAAAGAGCAACTCCGAGATACTTGCGCTAGTAAACAACAATCAGAAGCCTGCTTACATTTTAGTGTGTTGCATTGAGGTCCTTAAATATTCGTTCAAGATTGAACTAGATTTAACCAAAGAAGTATTCATTTTTTTAGAGCAAATTATATTAAAAGGCAAATTGAAGAGACATGAACTGTGTTGGCAGTTATCAACACCCATTGTAGAAACGACAAAATTGCAGAGTATTTTGAGAAGGTATACATGTTTGGTTTCTAAATACGATGATTTTTGGATAATTCTCCAATCTAGGCGTCGGCTTCAGAGGTAGGCTAGGTAGGGACTTATTAAGCTCACACGCATTGCAGCTTACAGTCTCATTATACAGTCAGATCGCTAATGTATCCCTCTAAAGGATGTGTCCAGATACTAGAATTATAGTATCTGATCAACTGCAAATTGACTCTAGACTAAAGCTATATCCTGGAGATCTGGCATTTTTTGAAAATGTACTGAAAATGTCAAATGAGCCTATATACCTAGTATACCTAGCCAACATATGTTCAAATTTGGTGTTAGGGAGATGTGTACTTTTTGGAATCTTTATGCAGCCGTCTTTATATGTCACATGTTATTTCCAGGAATACATAACTCATTTAATATACGATGTAAATCTTTCACATTTGCACAAATAGTGCACCGAGATACCCAGAAAAGAAATAATATTTCATATGCCTCCAATTGCAACAGTTGTTCCTGGCACAATCATGAGTATGTTATTAACTTGCACAAGGATCTTGGAGTTGTACTTTTAGCTATAATGCATCGTATCATAATGTAAGCAAGATGCTGATTGGTTCATAATTCACGGCGCTAAAATGAACTCGACGGGCGTGAAGATGTTTCTCAGCGCGTGTAAAATAACAGTCTTAACGCCCGTAATTAATAATTTTAACGCCGTAAGTTCACGCCTGTAAATGTATTCTGAACGCCCGTAGAATTTACTTCTTGACGGGCGTAATTTACGCCTACACAGGCGTAATTTTTCGTCAGCACGGGCGTAATTTTACATCTACACGAGCGTTACTAACGCCTACACACCCGTAAACAACGCATGCATTCTTTATACTAATAGGCCAACCATAGGTTTTACCGCAAAAACGACCGTATTTTTGTA